CAGTGGTGTGAGTGGCAATACTGGGAGGGTAGAGGGAGAGTGGGTAGGAAAGAGGGAACCGATTACAAGGAACTATATGTGACCTCCCCCCTGGGGGACAGACAACCGAAAAGTGGGTGTTTAATATTCTTTTGGGTTCTAGTCACTACTTGGGAGCCTTGCTGGCACAGTGGCTTACAATTTGGATATTGACTGTAAGATCTCACTGCCATCATTTCCAGCTCATAGAGACTCTGAAGGGGTCTCACAGCCGTTGAGTCTGTGCTAATTCATATTGACTCTATATGTCAGGGTAGACCTGCCCCTGTGGTTTTCAAGGAGTGGAACACCTCATCAAGGATAGTAGTTCTAAAGCACCAGCCACTTCACAGGAGAAAGAAGTTGTCCTGCTGTAAAAATGTGTGGCCTCAGAAATCCAAAGGGTCAGGTCTACTCTGGCCTGTAGAGTAGGACTATGAGACAGAGTCAGCTTAAGGGCAGTGAGTTTAGTTCGTTTTGAGTAACTGCTTACTACATTAAGATGATATAGGCAGTTAGAACAGATTAAACAACATGACCTTCACAAGTTTTTTTTGTAATAAATCATTTTATTGGGGGCTCTTACAGCTCTTTTAACAATCCATACATCAATCGTCTCAAGCACAATTGTACATATGTTGCCATCATCATTTCCAAAGCATTTTCTTTCTACTTAAGCCCTTGGTATCAGCTCTTTTTTTTCCCCCTTCCCTCCTCTCCCCTCCCACCCTTGGGAACCTTTGATAATTTATAAATTATGTTATTTTCATATTTGACACCGTCCACTGTCCCCCTTCACCTGTGTTTCTGTTGTTCATCCCCTTGGGGAGTGGGGGAGGTTATACGTCCATCATTGCGATTGTTTCCCCTTTTCTACCCATTCTCCTCTCACCTTCCCCCGTCCTCATGACACTGCTACTCATTGTTGGTGCTGAGAGATTTATCTGTCCTGGATTCTGTGTGTCGAGAGCTCTTAGGTTCACAACTTGATATGATTAAAGAACAAATTAGTGATGATTACCTTTTGAAGAAAAAGAAATGCAATGAACTGTGGACAAAGCAAAGATAATATACCAACAAAATAGCACTTTTCTGCTATGTACCCATCTTATGGGTAGTAAGGTGATATGTGAAGTAGAATTGCCCTACTTAAAAGACTATCGCTGTATCTATGCCAACATGAACATTCTTAATAAAGGTCTGAGTAGTAGGCTATTGTTACAAAGCCGACAGAAAGAATGGGAGAGCAGCTCCACACAAGAGTCCTCAACTGTGGTCAGTTTTGTCCTCAGGGAACATTTTTCAAAGTGTGCAGATATTTTTGGTTGTCACAGTGTGTGCTATTGGCAGCTAGTGGGTAAAGGCCGATGTGTTAGTCAGGGTAGACTAGAGGAACAAATCCATAGAAACTCATGTGTATAAAAGAAAGTTTTATATAAAGGGTATTTGTACATTAAGAAAACGTGCCAGCCCAGTCCAGATCAAGTCCATAAGTCCAGTATTAGCCCATATGTCCAATACCAATCTATAAAGCCCTCTTCTGACTCACAAAACACATGCAATGACGCTGAATGCAAGAAGGTCACAGGCGAGTGGGTGGGAAGTCTTGTAAACCCAGTGGCATTGTAAGCATCTCAGCACTAGCAGGGGTCTCCACACGGCTTCTCCAGTGCCCAGGGCTGCATCAGGGAAGGTCCATGTGGCTCCTTCTCAGAGGTGTTTGTATAGGAGTTAGCCTTGTCAATTGAGCGTCTCCAATGGAGTGAGCAGAGAGAGTGTGTCTCCTGCCTCCAAGGAGGAAAATATAACGTTCTCAGAATTCTCAGAAGGCCATGCACACACAGAGGTCTCGTTAGTTATATCTTGATTGACAGGCCAGACTCCACCCCTTCATTTGTAATCCTCTCAAATTTACATCAGATTATGTAACTACCACAGCCGGTCAGCACCTGATAGGGCCCAGGACAGCTCACATCTAAGAATCATATGGCCTAGAATGTCAGTTCTGCCAGGGATAGGAAACGCTAACTAACTTAGACTTACCTTGAAATTTACTCCTATACTTGATGTTTTTTACCTGTCCTCAACCAGTGTTTTCCTTGCTCTGGTATGTTCTTCCATTTATCTTCATCTCCCAGCCACTGTTCATATTCTTTCCGGCCACCAAATCTTTCCCTCTCCTTTTCTAATCAGTCAAGACGTAGGTCTACTAATTTATCTAGTTATTGTTTTGCCACTCATAAATGTAACTAGTTGTGTATTCACTTAAAAAAGCTGATTTTATACTTTTCTTGGAGTAAGTTACAAGTTGGACTGCTAACTGCAACGCCAACAGTTCGAAACCTCAAGCCACTACTCAAAAGAAAGGTGAGGCTTTTTACTCCTGTAAAGAGGTACAGTCTTGTAAACTCACAGGGCAGTTTTACCCTGTCCTATAGCGTCACTATGAATTGGCATCCACTCAGTGGCAGTGAGAGCTTCGCAATTTTGTGTTCAGTTGCTATCACATTGTCTTCCATTCCTAGTGTTGCTGTGTCAGAAATACCACATATGCTATTAGTTGCCATCGAGTTGGTCCAAGCCATAGTGACCCTTTGCACAATAGAACAAAACACTGCATGGTACCATAGTCAGCATCGTTCCCACGCCCGAGCTCATTGTTGAACCCACTGTGTCAATCTGTCTCATTAAGGGCCTTCCTATTTTTGCTGCCTCTCCACTTCACCAAACATGATGTTCTTTTCCAGGGACTGATATCTCATAAAAATGTGTCCAAAGTATGTAACACAAAGTCTTGTCACCCTTGCCTTTAAGGAGTATTCCAAGAAGATTTGTCATTTTAGCAGTCCATGAAACTTTCAATGTTCTCCAGCACCACAATTCAAGTGTTCTGATTCTTCTTTGGTCTTCCTATTCAGTGTCCAGCTTGCACAAGCATATGAGGCAGTTGAAAATACCATGGCTTGGGTTAGGCACACCTTAGTCCTCAGAGTAACATCCTTTTCATTACTCTAAAGAAGGTTTGTGCAGCAGATTTACTTAATGCAATATATCGTTTGATCTCTTGAGATTTTGGTCTTTTTTACATTGAATTGTAATCCATACTGAAGGCTACAGTCCTTGATCTTAATCAGCAAATACTTCAGACACCACAAATAAGGGCTATAAAGAGAAATTTATTTTCTCACATTTCAGAAGGCTAGAAGTCTGAATTCAGGGAGTGGCTCTAGGGGGAAGACTCTTAGTCTATTTCGGCTTCTAGAACTCTTGTAAATACTGTTGTTTAAGTGTTGACCTGCTAACTTGAAGGTTAGTAATTCAAACATCAGCCACTCCACTGGAGAAAGATGAAGCTGTCTGCTCTAGTCAAGATTCACAGCCTGCAAAGCTCTACATAGGGGCATTATGAGTTGGAATTGGCACGATGGCTCTGGGAACAACCAGCAGTCTTTAAATTCCTGGCGTTGTGAGTTTGTGTGCCTCCCTGGTTGTGAGGTTAGATAGCCTCTGTCTTCCCCTGCTTCTGTGCATCTCTGTGTCTATTCTCTTCATAACCAAGGGGTGCCTGTGTAGGGTCCACCCTACACACGACTTCCTCTGATTGATTGGTTCTATTACATTAAGTTGCATTATGGAAGGTAATCTGAATTACATTACATTACACAGAGATGTAGAAGCTAGGATCTAACACATTTTTCAAGGGACACAATTCTTAACACATTGGTAGTGTGAAATGGATAATAGTGGTAGTATTTACACCATAGAAACTGGCAGATATTACAAACCAGGGCTCCCTGCCAGCTGGCACACCATTAAATTAACCCTTTTTAGCCTGCCTTCACTAAGTGTAGAGGAATGTTGTTATAAATCCAAATGAGGATATTTTGGAAGTTACCGCAACTATGACCTAATTTTTCATAGGTATAGGTAGTGTTAGTAAAGTGTTAATGTGCATTTTTCCCCTGGTTTTGGACTGTAATTATCATTTTTACACCATGCTTTGGATTTCTTCAATGTGAAACTGATGGACTTGCCCTGGTACCTCTACTTACAGGAAGCGGTTTGACAAAGCTGAAGCAGAGTATGTGACCGCAAAGCTAGATCTACAGCGCAAGACTGAAATTAAAGAACAACTCACTGAGCACCTCTCTACCATCATCCAGCAGAATGAGCTCCGGAAGGCCAACAAGTTGGAGGAATTGATGCAACAGCTGGATGTCCCGGCTGATGGGGAGACTCTGGAACTGGAGGTCGAGGTGGAGAGATTGCCGCAGGAGCAAGAAGCAGAACCAGGAAAACAAACGGTTCCTTTGGAGAGGTCACGTCAGCCTTCTGGGGACAGGGGGACATTAGAATGTTCTAAAGAGGACCAAACGCCTCAGGAACGGACTGTTTCCTCAAAGGATGAGCAATGTGAAAGTTACAAAAGCAGTTCCCTTAGTCCAAACTGCCAGAATCAAGACACTGCAACGACTGTAAGGGACATTTCGGTTGCTCTGCCCACATGAATTGCCAGTGTGTGTTCTTTTCAGCTTCATGGCACATGATAAAGTATACTTTCTGCTATGGATTATGCTTTGACTACATGGTAAAAATATCTTCAAAACTCAATTTTTGAATTCATGACTTTAAAATTTTTAGTATTTTGATAAGTTTAAGCATTCTAAAGTCTCAAATTATAACAATTTTATATCGGGGATAGTTTACCTTGGTTGTAGCTAGTTCCTTCAATGTATCATTATTAATGGGGAAAGAAAATAATTTAAAAGGATAGAAGTAAAACTACATAGTTGAAACAGTTTTTAGATCTGGCAATATAGAATATAGAAAAATAAAATGAAAATGATAATATCTAATCAAGTTACATACTTCTGGGAAAAGTATTGAGAATTACTGCTAATTACTACTATATGTAATTAGTTAAAAAAACACACACAAATTACCATGTGCAAAATGGGAGGCAAGAAGCACATTGATTTATTTGTACTTTACTAGGTTATAAAATACAACTTAGATGTTTTTGTGAAGAAACAGGCAAGTCATTTTGTCTTAAATATACCTTTTAAATAGTTTTAGTTTACAACCAAGTTGAATTTTGGTATGTGATGCTTTTAATGCCCACAACCCGACCCTCCCCACCCCTCAAGGAAAAAAACCAAAAACAAGCTATCCACATTCACATTATGGATCAACTCATAGTGACCCTGTAGGACATAGGTTGCCAAATTTATTTGGCCTACTGCCTCCTTTTCAGGAAAAAGTGTTAACACTTTTCAGGGGGAAAAAAGTCACCATATATATCTTTAACACTCCCAATACCAATTAAAGACTTTTGTACTATAGACTGTACTCCAGGATAAAGTGTAGGTAACTGCTTTACAGTCCCACTGGATTATTCCAGTATCCCCCATGGGGATATTCCAGTATCACCCACTTTGAGAAACACTTCTATAGGACAAAATAGAATTGTTCCCTGTGGTTTTTGGAGATTATCAGTCTTTATAAGATTAGACAGCTGCATCTCTCTCCCTAGCAGCTAACGGATTTGAATTGCTGACCTTGCAAGCCTAGTGCATAACCCACTGCGCACCAAAACCCAAATCACTGCCATCCAGTCAGTGCTGACTCATAGCGACGCCCTGTGGGTTTCTGAGACTGTAACTGTTTACGGGAGTAGAAAGCCCAGTCTTTCGCCCATGTTGCTGCTGGTGCCTTCAAACTGCTGACCATGCAGATCACAGCCAACATGTAACCACCACACCACCAGGACTCCAGATACTGTGCCCCAGGGTTCTCCAAACAAGCACACTATACCAACAACCAAACCTGAGTCAAATCCCACTGCTGGCAACCTCTTTTGTTTCAGACTAGAACTGTACTCGACAGGTTTTCCATGGCTGTGATTAACTTGTAAAAGTAGCGCTTCATATTTTCTTCTGAGTTGTCTCTGAGTGAATTTAAAATGGCAACCTTTCCGTTAGTAATCAGTTGCATAACTATTTGCAACCCCCAGGGAAGCCTGCAGACACTAAGCTTATATGTAATTTTACCATTAGTACATTGTCTTTTCATTGCCATTAGTACAATGTACCATTAGTAAATTGTCTTTTCATTTCTTTTCGTTGTCTTTTCATTGGTTAGCTAAAACTGATCTGAAATTGATTTTATTTAAATAAAATTAGATCATCAAAAATTGATTTTTTTTCTTTCTAGCTGTCAATGTGTTTTATATGTTAGTCAAATTTTGTCATAAAGCATTTAATTGTAAAAATATTGGTGTTTCTTAATAAAAGTTTATTACCTTTTAAATCATGATCAGTACATTGTGCTATATGTAAATGTGTAAAAATTAGTGTCATCACAAAATCTATGGATATCAGTTAAAGTTGTAATCTATCAGAAACTAAAAATTATATTATGTTTTAATTTTTTAAAAAATTTTTCAAAGGATAAATATATTCATAATAGTTTCTGTAAAAGTTATTACCTTCAAGTATCTGGTGTAATCTATGTTTTTATATTAAACAATTTTAGTTAAAATTACAGGTATCTAAACAGAAGCATATATGTAAATAGTTGTCTTTTTATTTTGAACCACACACACACAAGTTGAAAGCCTCACATATACATGCTTTTTTTGTATCAGAGATATTTATTAGCAAATGATAGACAAGCCAAAGGTATTTAGGAAATGGGGAAACGAGTTTTGCTCATTTTTGGTTTTGGCTTTCTTACATTAATAGGTCATAGTGGTGGTTTGGGTTTTGTTTTTGGTGCGTTTTCTTTTTTTTAATCTAAGCACATCTCAAGGTACATGGAGAAAAGAGGACATCGATGAATTGGATGGGACTTCGGAGATCATCTGATTGAATTTTGCTGTTTTACAGCGGAAGAATGGGAGCACCCTAGATGGCACTGGCTTGTTTCAGACTTTTAAGTGCTAGTATAATTGCACTTCTATACTCTTCATGTGCCTCATATATCTCAAGCTATGACGTTCACTGCATTCCTTCACTTGAAAATTTTGCTTTATAATCAATTTTGGGATTTTGTGTGTGTGTGTGAAATGCTTTCAAATGTGGCTATAAAAGGTTACTGAAACCATTATTTTGAAAAACCTTATCTTACTTGGTTTTCCCAGGGTGGTATCTGAGTGCTCAGGTGATGATATAAGTGACAAAATTCTATTGCATCAGTTTTACGCACAGGCAGCTGTAGCCCATGTGTGGGAGGAACAAGAGCAAATGAATGAGAAATGGGGCTCATTGGTATGAGGACCATATGCACTGGCTTTTCCAGGAGAGCCCTGATACCATATAGATAGAGAGATTTTAATAGTGAAATACATTTGAAAGGTTTTTTATAGGAATTTGTAAATCCACGATTATTGTTAATCTCTGAGTAAATTACTGGTTCAAAATGACCACCACCAGTTTATTGGGGAACTTTTTGGAACTGTAGTGTTAAACTCCTCTTGCTTCCACTTCTGAAAGTACTTAAAGTTTGAGGTTATCAAGACCCTTAATGATATGTAATTTGGGAGTTAACTACATTGGGTTATCTCACTTAGTAAACTTAAAAATAATTTTGTAGCAAGTTGCACTAATTTCTACTTACAATGGCCTGCTTTTACTTAGCTAACCTGTAATTCCTGAATTTAATTAATGGTCCTTAACACCTAGATTTGTTGCTGCGTTCTTGAAATTAGAGCTATTTTTTTTTATAGATTTCAGATGCAGAATTTTTTAAAGCACACTCCTTGCATTTAAAATGAAGACTTTTCTCAAGGTACTTCACCTCCACATAGTTCTGAATTACAGCCCTTGCAGGTGGTAAATCTCTGTACTCATTGTGAGCACAGCTGCTAGAGACTTGACTTTCCAAGTCAGATGATAAAAACGCTCTGATTGGAATTCTCAGAACCTGTTTCATTGCTGAATTGGTATTTGAATTATAGCATGAGAACTTAGTTATAAAACTGTCTTGTTCTTTCTTTGGATTTAGCAACACGGTATTCTCAAGGAGCTTATCTAAGTATTCAGTGACTTCCTCTCCTGTGGCATTGGCACAAAACTAATTCAAGTTATTCTGACCAGGCCATTCCCAGCGACCTTTGTAAATTAAGCTTTGGGTTTTGTACTTCTAAGGAGCCAGGTCAGCATTTAGAAGGGCCCTGATAGATAAAACTCAGCCTGCCAGACAAGACCTGGGGCCACTCTGGATCAGGGTAATTATACTGCCTCTCAACATAGACCTACCCCAGGCCTGGCTTGAATACTCTGGAGGGATGAAGCAGGACTGTATTCTCCCGTCTGCCTTTGCCTTAATGCCAGGCTCCTAATTCCAAACAGCTGTCTTGAAAAGTTCAATATCAGCTATTTATGCAAGTGATCAAGCTATTTGTAGCTACCTATGTGGACAGAGATCTATGCGGTATATGATCTGTGCCTTTTGTACCAAAAAGCTTAATAACTAATTGTAGGGCTAAAATTTACACTGAACAAAGGCTGCTCAAGAACATCATGTCTTAATGGAAGGCCAAATAAGTGGTTAGAACAATGAACATGGATGAGCCCTCCAGAAGCCCCTCTGCAACTGATCAACTGTGTTTAGGGCCCACTGTCTTTCCATGTGCTTTTAGAACTGGGGACAACACGTGATTAAAAAAACAACAAAACCTAAAATGAAAAAGGAGGAAACTACCGGCAGACAGTATGTCTAGATTCTAAGTTAGAAAAGTACCGGAACAAGAGGGAATTGGAAAGAGGAAGTTTTGGAATCTCATTGATTTAAAATAGGGGCCCTACTGGATTTATTGGTGGGAAAAGCCCTACTAAGCATTAGAATAATTAAGCCTATATCGATATGTGAAAGGATTGATAGTGTCATCTATTTTTTATTTAACACTTTTATTGGCATTTACTTCACATCTCATAGAATTCAGTTCAGTCACATCAAGACGAGTTGTGAATAGCGTAAATATAAGAGTTTATTATAATTATTCAAGGTGTTTCTGACCAAGAGTCAGTGATGACTGCCCAACCCCAGAACAAAGCAGGAAGGGAACAAACTGATGTGAATTTAAGAATAATTCAACTCGGAGACATGTTCAAAGATCATACATAAGAGATCTTTATAAGCTGAATGACTGTAGGAGCCTAAAATAGAGCCACAATTAAGCAATCAAACATGACAGGCAGCACATTTCTCGGTGATTATAGCATGCCTCAAAGGATAAGTCACTAGGCCAAAGGTTCATATGAGGACTGAAATAATAGCCCTGCAATATACAGTGTCACTAATGTTAAGAGAGAGAGAAGCAGAGGAAAATGAATCATGGGAGAAGAGCCATTTCATGAGCTATTATTACAGTTGCTGGGTAGTCTTACCATGTGTGTAGTGCAGGTGGCTATTAGTTTTACCTAATATTCTGAAGCTGCATTTATATCAGAGCCTTCACTTACTTCAAAAGGGCTATCCACCTTTTCCTTACCTGTGGGGAAAAAAAGCAGACCATGAAAGTAAACAAACCTTAAGGTTCATAGCCATCTGAAAATATAATTACAGGTGCACAAACCTGGCTTTCATAACTGAAAAATAGCAGAAGCAGCCACAATGGATTTTAGTTACAGTCAATATTTTGGCTCATGTATTTTATGTGTATTTCTCAAACATTTCCAGGATGCGTGGCCCTGGTGTCACATTGCAAGCCCAATGTGACGAAGCCAATTTGAGACAATAGTGAAAAGAGCACCATAGGATTTCCAAGGCTGTAAATCTTTACGGAGCAGACACCATCTTTCTTCTACGGAGCATCTGGCAGTTTTGAAGCCTTGACATTTTGTTTAGCATCCCAGTGCTTAACCCACTGTACCATCAATGCTCCTATGTCTCATAGGTCTAGAAATACCTCCAGCCTGTTCCTCAGCTCTCCCTTCCTCCCTGTTATGGTGTTGGTGAAAGTGAGGGAATACTCTAGTCCTGCTGACCCACTTGATCCCACACTATGGCGAAGACAAGTCTTCCTTTG